GCCCAAAGTTTTCAGAGACAAATCTACTTTTCATGCAGTCACATAAGTTACAAACTTTTCTCCTGTGGGAGGAGATGCAGCAGCCAAACATCCCTGACATTTTCAGGCCTTCATCTCTGTAATGCAATCCACTGTGTTTCCACAAAGATTCGGGGATCAAGCGTTGGGGCTGAGGATGAGAGGGGCTGCGGCGGTCGCCTGAGCCATCTGGGATCAGAAACCACAAACAGGGAATAACATCCTCTCAACATTCAATGTTTTCAATCAAGGGATCAGCAACTGTGAGTGAAAAACAAAATGTCCCAGACAGCCATCACGCCACAGTCTCTGGCAGGTAAAAGCTGGCACGACTAATATGGGTTTGTCAGAGTGAAAATAGCCTGGTTTTGTTCTCACCTTCCGAAAAAAGGTAGAGGTATAATGCTTTTGTCTGGTTTATCTCCCCCAGGGTCATGGTCTAATAGCTTTCCTGGCTCGTACGGCCTCAGTGAAGGGGATTTAAAGTTAGTGTTTCACTGCACAAACAGTGCCGTGATGGAGGCTGAGCTACTCATTTACACCTAATTCAGCTCTAATCACATGTACACAACAATGACTTTCATACATTTGTGTCTCTGGACGTTCAGCTCAGATCTTTGAGTGAGTTTAAAGGGGAAATCTGGCTGTTTAACACCACTCAAAAGTTGACAAAACCTCAGAACAGCAGTTTGTTGATGAATGCTACCTGGCTGGGACATGCTCAAAACGACATTACACATGATATGCAACATGAATAAACCACTGGGTATTAAATGCTACCTGACTGGGACGCTGGGATGCTCAAAACGACATTACACATGACATGCAACATGAATAAACCACTGGGTATATTTAAAATCCACATCGTTGGAACCACCACAACCTCTGACCAACTCTAACTGCTCTACTGCTCCCAGTCGATGGGACTTAGTTTCATCTTTGAAAGAAAATGGGGAACACGCTACGTTTACTGAAGGAAATGTTTTTTTCTGATGCTCTTACCCTCTCCTCTCCTGTTGTTTCTCCTTTCATCTCCACTCCTCCACTCACATCTCCTCTCCCCACCCCTCCTCTCATTTCTCCTTTCATCTCCCCTCTTCCACTCTCCTCTCCTGTCCTCACCTTTCCTCTCCTCTGCTCTCCCCTCTCTTTTTTTCCTGAACATTAATCACATCTGCAGACATAAAAATAATCTCAACCTTTCCTTGGTCTCCCCCACTTCCACTTCCACTAAAGGACACCTCGCTGCGGCAGGTTGAACTTGTTTTCCCGTGTGTGTTTTCCTTCCTCTATTTACGACTGGAGGACACTTCTGCATCTCAGATCAGCTTAATGAAATGCTGCTACATCCTCTGTTATTAAGAGCGTCTCTCATAGCAATTAGCAATTACAAAAAAAATAACCCGTTATACTCCCTGGAAGCTAACAGCAATCGAATGACGAGCATTAAAAAAATGAGGATGAATTTTCTGGATGTCAGTTAATTTGATCAGACGTGGTTTTAGTTTTAGCTAACCTTGAGCTTGATCAGAAAACTGTTATCTATGTTTTAGATTAATATTGTCTTATTTTATTCTTTAGCTTATATTTAGCTATTCCGAGACATGGTGTCCTAGTTGTAGCTAATTGGTGACATCCTGTGCTGAACTTTAGCCATTTAACTCTTATTTTTGTATTTTTCTTTAGCTCATTTCTAATTAACTGTAAATTATTAATTATCTCTATCTACTGCTTAGTTTAAATTAATTGTATATTTTTACATTTGTTGATTAACTATAGCTCCTAGAAAAGAATTCCTTCTACAACAACACAACTACTTTTGCTATATTCAACAGGCGTCTAACTATTATTAACTGTCAGGATAAAACTGTATATATTTGGATGGAACTGATCGAGGAAAGATAATACTTGGATATTGTTATAATGAAAATTCACTGTAATGGGAATGATTATGAAAATGGAGACTGAGAAGACGATGAGAATGAAAACAAAGTCAAAAGGAGTGAAAGGAAGAATGGAGGAGCAGTAAAGAGGAGAGGAGAGGAGAAGATAGGAGTGGAGAAAGAAAATGAGCTTGGTTCCCTCTGTGGCTTCTGAGCTTCACCACTTAATCATCTCCTGCTCTATAAATAGGCCTTCACAGCCATGGAATATTGGGAGATTAATGCCAGAGAATGGGACACCATACTGCTGCAGAGCTGAGACACATTTCTGTTGTAGTTCATTTTCACTTTGGGATCTGACAGAATCTCACACTCGGGATCGTTCACGACATGTGTCCGTCCTGCAGGACAGACAGGAAAAGTCCTGGCTAAACAGGAAGCAGAGTAATTATTTTTTACCTATATCCTTCATATTCGTAATCATATTTGGGGTTATATTTATATCTAATTGAGTACGGTGATTGGTTTTTGCTCAGCTTCAGTAATGGTTTCTAATTTTTTTTCTCCTTTTACTTCACAATCAGCGAAACAGTTATTAAAAGTTTCCACATCATTTCATTGACAAAATAATTTAGATTTGATTTTTTTGGCTTATATTTGTTAGCTCATTTAGAGAATGTATTTAACAATGTTGTTAACCTTTTTAGCATCTTAGCTAACATCTGAGCAAAGATATTTAATTATAAACATTATTTTGCATCATGTGACCTAATAATGTCTGCGGAAAACCTAAATAAAAAAAATACATATTATAAACTTTCTTAGAACTGACTTTACCTGCAACACCAATCTTGAAAATATGTTTCTTGCTGATTAATATAAATTTAATTGCTTTTTTTTAACTTGCATCTGCAACATAAGAATTATCCATTAGCACAAGGTTGAAAAGAAAAAAAGTTTTTTTTATTAGAGGAACTGATTTTTCTATAGCTGTTAGAGACTGCTAATATACTACACACATCTATTAAGACCAAAAAATTGACCATTAAAATTGAGAATTCTAAATTTCAAAATTTAGGTTTTTAAAAAAAGAGTTTACACTAAGATTAAATTAATCTGAGTTTGACAAATTAAGTGCAATAATTCATTTGTTTTAGGATTAAAGGGCATGGTTTTCTTTGGACAGGAAGAAAAGAGCAGAATAAAATCATGACTCAAGGTAACATGTGATGTTTCCTCTCTTCGTCCTACTCAGTCTGCAGGATTGGTGGTCGGCAGCAGCGACAGCCAAACCGGACTTTGTAGCCACTGCAACTTGCGGTCCTCAGATTCTCGTCACGACAAATAAAACCACTAACTGCATCAAACCTGAAAAGGAAAATGGAGGAGTTAAAGGTGTATTTAAAAAAGAAGATATTGGCAGAAGAATGAAGTAATTCAGTGAAGGTTAAGTACAGTGTTTGAAAATAAATGAAAACAATCCGTATCCCTCTGAGGCATTGTTTAAAAATTTTGATTTCATCCAACATAAATTTGAGTCAGTAAGTTTTCATCTACTGCCGATTCAGACTGAAGAGTGAACCGCACCTTTATTATTTGATATGAATAGAGACACAAACACGGGCACTTACGTGACGGCATCCTCTGTCACAGCAGCTCTGATCCTGATGTCAGTGGAACTGATTTGTATAAGAGGATGTTCACAGATAAATCCTGGGTGTTCTTCCTCCACTTGTTTCCAGAAGTTTGGCCCGAGCCTGAGGTCATGTAGGTAGTACCACCGGGTCCAGCACACTGCAGAGAGACAACGACAAAGAGATGGAGAGACAGAAGAATCAGTTCCATTGTCATTGAACTTGTGGGTGGATATTTATAACTTAACACCAGATACTCTGTTCAAAACACATTTCATAGCTTGGTTGCGCTGTTTCCAGTTGTGTGTATTTATACTCAAGTTTTTTTTAATATTCAATCAGATTTCAGCCATCATTTGTTGCCAGGCTTCAAGAAATTTGCCCCAAGGCCCTAAGAAACAGTAGTGTGGGTGGCTGAAGTCCAAAACGAATGGCAATTAAAATCTTTCAGATTCTGAGCTGGCAACACCAAGGGCTTCTAGCAGAGACACAGATTCCTGCTCTCCAGTTTGACCATTGTCTCTGTCAAACCATTGTGTCCAGCACCGTCGTCCACCACTTGAAAAAACAGCACGATGTTTGGATACTGGAAGTGAACATTCAGTGGGTTGTGAGCTGCTAAAAGGAAAAACAAACATCTAAACCATGCACAGTCGGAGGCACCTGAGAACTAACCTGGGTAGCAGAAAAAAGGCGGGCATCTAAAACGAACACGATAATCGTTACACAACCTCCGGCACTGGTCCTGAGTTCTGCAGATGAAGCCTTCGTTTACGTTGTTCCTGACAAAACAAAGAGCCGTACTCAGATGGAGTCTGGAGCCTTGATGGTCTGTCTGGTTTCACTCGTTTACTTGTTTTTCCGGCTAAATGCTTATTGTTAAAGTATTGCAAAACCAATCATTTCCTTCTCACTGACGTTAGCCTGTGATTTGCAACCACATACTTAACGGCACCTCCTGTTGGCTGTGTGGGTTGCAAAGACTCACTCTGTGCCATGAACTTTATTATTATTGTGTATATATATTATTGTGTGACCTATTACTCAGTGTTAGGTAACCGACGGATTAGTTTAGCCGAACTCAACACTCTTCATTAAAAGACATTCAATCCTGGAATGGCCAAAAGAAAAAAAAATCTGCTTTCTCTTTTAAACATTTTTAAACATTTTTCAAGTCTGTTTTTTGCACCAAAACTGAATGAGGCCTTAACTAGAACATAAAAAGACAGGAGATCACGGCCTCAGATGGGACCGTCTTGTTGCAGTGATGTGACCTGTAATTTCATACTAACCTGAAAATGACATCTCCTGTAGCAGCTGAAGGTGTACCAGACAGGGTGGTGGCCTCGATTTCTATTGGATCATCACAGATTCTTCCACGGTACCATTTACGAAGTAGAATCAAGGTTTCCCAGTCCCCAGTTCCATCAGGGTTGTCTCTGTCAAACCACTGTGTCCAGCATTCACGCAGGGGACCTTGACAGAACAGCAAGAAAGATTTGACTGTGTGTGTGTGTGTGAACCAAAATAAGATTTAAATTTGTTCAGAAGGTCGTTGTATCAACAGGGAGAGTTCTAAAGCCCGTTTTCATGTGGAAGGAACACAGACACCATGGTTGAGGTTTTTGTTCCTTTATCTCATAGTATCTCTTTTTTTTTTTATTTAAAAAAATGAATGTGTAGTTGAAACTCTTAATCAAAATGCAGAATGTGAATTTGATTACAAAATAATAGTTTGATCAACTAATTCCAATTATTATTTAAATTAAACTTTGACTGTTTAAAATATATATTTTCTAAGGTCAAAGTCAGGACAGGATTCATCCGTTGGGTAAAATGGAGCAAGTAAGGCAGGTTAGGGTTCAGAACTGTGACCTTAATCAGAGAATTCTAAATTATTTTTTTTTAGGTGACAACAAAGCTAACTAAACAAAACTAAACTGAACTAAAGTAAAATAAATTTAATTATCAGAAGATGCCGCTTACAGATAGGGTAAGGTGGAGGTGGTCTTGGATCTACAGACAGCTGATTGTTCTCTGGAAAGAGACAAGAGTGAAAAACATTCAACATAAATCAATATAAAACGATTAGTTAAGCAATAAATAAATAAATTAACTAAAACCTACCACCAAACAGCCCGGCAACAATAACAAGACTTAACTATGAAGAGAGGAAAAAACAAAGTTTGACATGAAAACCACCAACATGTGCCATTTTATAATAAAAAATAATGTGAAACAAGAGGTCATACATTACCAGCTTCATCGTGACTGCGGTTCAGGCAAACCTTTGATGGAAAAAAAAAAAAATCAATATAATATCATAGGTTATTTACATACAAATATAGGGAAACTGTCTTAAAAAAAAACCTCACCCACAGTATTCACCGTGGTCTGACTACCTGCTGGTCTCTCATTCACAATATTTATACAGAGAGTGAGTGTTTCAGCACAATTACAGAGATATGTTGATACGTGGACACTGCCAAAAAACACACAATACCCAAAAGATATCGTAAATCTATCTCCTGCAAAACCTTTGTGTCGAATACTTGACCTATTTTTTTAAAAGCATCTGAATAGAGTTACCATTACACCCTCAATTTGACTTGTTTTTGGCTGGAAAAAACCCATGTTTTATGAAACTAATACTTTGCACCTGAGTTTTCTTATTCATACAGTGAGTGATTTAGTACATCTTCAGATAATCTAGGATTGTGTGGTCCATTCCCCGTGGACCAGACCCAAATGTCCATTGGAACAAAATATAATTTCCTGTAACAGTCTTAAATTTTAGAGGTTGAGGTGAACTGTATAGAGTTCCCCCTGTGTCCTGAGACAAACAAAACAGTAAACCAGCCAGCACGTCAGCCAACAGTTTCAGTTTATACACCAGTGGAGGACAGGTCAAAGACAGGTTTACAGTGTAACAAATGTTAATCATGTGGCCGAGCCAAAACCAAACAACCAAAACCTGCTAACTGATGTTCTTCTTCCATATCATTAACCCCGTAGAGCCTGACACACACACAAAACCCCCCCCCAAAATATTCTACATTTTTGGAACAATAGGTGTTAAACATTATAACTAAATACATTTTTAAAAACTGCCATATAGATTTATTTATGAGATTTTTTTATGGTATATCATGTGATACGTTGGGCCTTTTTCACAACAATGTTCATTTTAGAAATAAAAACAAATTTGGCCTCTAACATTTAAAAACAAAAGGCAAGATGATTCCGAAATATAGGCTAAAAAACTAGGGCACTGGTTTTTATTTGTGATTAATCAAAAAGATGGAATTATCGATACATAAAAATGTCTAAAAAGTGTGGAAAGTCAGATTTTGGCTTCTAACCTGAAGCTGAAGCCTCTTCAAACGTATGCTGGACATTAAGACGGTGTTTTACGCACAAAGTTCCTGCAATGGGTGTAAATGACAACACATGTATGAACGCTGTTTTAGACCAATAGTAAGTGAATGGACGGTGGAGTTATTGGACAAAGAGTGGGCGTCATTCACACTATACATAAAAGGCATTCAAACTGTAATGTGATTAATCTTGACATCAGCTAAATGTATTGTAATGTAAATGTGATGATTTAATTGACATGTTAATTAGCATGTTAGTTTTGGCAGCTCCATGAAAAACACAGTAAAGTCTAATGACTGAGAAAACAGGTGGAAATATTGATGTTGTGATCATTTTACTGTCTTTGTGCCTAATGTTGCCATGACGTGTGTGACAGGATGTACTGTTTGACTCTTGTTGTTCTTCCAGTTTGTTTTTTTCCTCATTATCCAACTCTGTTATACTCATATGAATGAATGCTTTTGTGATGGTGAGTTACAACAAATGTTCATTTCCGTAACAGACGTTCTGTTTTCTGAACATTAGATTAAATTAAACATTATAAAAAAAATTAAACTTATAACAGTGAACTCATCATCAGTCTATATTCACTGTAAAACACCTTGGTCTGCACAACGGTTCGAACTTGTTTGTTTGTTACCGCCTCGACTTTGATGAAATACTGTGTAATGTGGTGAATTAGACCGTTGTTCTATGACCTCGGTCCAAAGTCCAGCCTTTTGCAGTGACACCATTAGCAGAATGGAGAACCCTGACAAATCACGTTTTGTCTTTGCAGTAGATTTTTATTATTGCAGAACCCAGAGAGAGATTACACTACAAGAAAGGAAAGTATTTATTCGGACTGAAGAAAAGAACTCTTACTTAGCCCTGATTAATGATTTCGTAAGTGGGGAGACTGGTGGGCACGGGCAGCCAAAGCGAACTTTGTAGTCCAGGCACATTTCGTTTACCTGATCTTCGTTACGACAAGCAAAGCCTTGAGATGGACTGAGGCTGAAAAAAATAATTTTCCAAGTTTAACAAAATTAAATACACCTCAATGTATCTTAAAGAAAAAATTAAAAAGACTAAAAACAAAATACAGACATGACCATCTGGTAGTTTTTTTATTTATTTCACTCTTTAGGACCATTAATATTTATATTTATGTACATACATATATGTGTATAAATTGCACTAAGAATTCTGTTCTCAACATAACAGGGAAAACTTACCGGTGGAAGAACTGTCCTGTCCTAAAGGCTTGTATGCCGTCGTTTTTGGTGACAACATCAATGTGCACTGGATCATCACAGATCTCTCCTAGGTTTTCAGTCTGCAGGTTTGCTAAAAGCTCCCAGTCTCCTGTCCCAGAGGGATCGTCGCGGTCATACCATCCGGTCCAGCACACTTGAGGTAGAACAGAAAATAGTTTGACTACGTAGCCCAGATGCAGTGCCACGTAATTGAGAAAAGACTGAAAAATTGCACTGCATCACGCAGGTACTGTAAAATGTATTGTAGGAGTATGAAGTACCTTGTTGGCAAAAGTTGGAAGGACATCTGAAGCGCACGCGATAATCATGACACTGATATGATGGCTGGTCACTGAGTCTGCATACAAACCCTGAGTCCATGTCGTTCCTGACAAAACAAGAGAAATACTTTGGCAATTGGTGAATAAGCTGTGTAGGGCGCCACCTGAAGGCAATCTTTTCGGGTATAAATAAAAGGAAAAAAGAAAGAAAGAAAGACTGGACTATGATCACCATGTCGTTGTGAGATGCTTACACATAAAACGTGTCTCCTGTTGCGGCAGCAGGGACATTAGACAGAGTTGTGACCTCCATATCTATCGGAGAATCACAGATCTGTCCTGGGTACGATCCTCTCAAAGAAGACATAGATTCCCAGTCTCCAGTTCCATCAGGGTCATCTCTATCAAACCACTGTGTCCAGCATTCTTATAGGGAGGGAACAAGGAGACAATTTCAAAAAAGTTACAAGGAACTGTAAAGTTGGAAAATCAACAAGTGAGGTTAAAAACCACAACGTGACTCACGGCTTGGAGATATGAGCTGTCGACAGTTGTTTTCTGTGGAGATTTGTAGGAAAAGTGATATATATATATTTTAATTTATTTTAAATTGTGTACAATTCAGGTCGGATTATTACATTTGTCAACTATTCTAAGATCTTACCATAGGCCAGTCCAGCGAGAAGGACAACAGTCAGCTGTGAGGGAACAGAGAATTGAAGTTACTTCAATGCAGAGTAATTGAAATAACGAATGGGATATAAACTATACCAACTATATTAATCACAATAAATAAATTACAATACCTGCAATTAGGACAGAAGTTTAAGAAGTAAATTAGCAAAAATAAAACTCATACATTACCAATAAATTCATGGTTACGTTCAGTATTGTGACCTCAAACCTGTGGTGTAAAGGCATGTCGTATAAGCAGATTAAAATAATAAAAACTTTTAAATCCACTATCACATCACAAGGAAGTTTAATTTTGTTTGTGTAATACCAGTGTCATAAGTAAAACAACAGCACGTGAAGATACTCACCCACTGAAATCTTCTGGAGAATTCTCTCAGTCTGGCTTGCTGTGAAATATCTCCCAACTCCTATATATACTGCTTCATAACAATGACGCAGATATTGTTTCACAATCTTCGCCATGATATAAGAAAGGAGTGAAAAAGAGAGTTTGATATGTTTTCTCCTGACTTGACAATGTGAATAATAAACGGCTCTTTAGGATCGTCAGTGTTCACCTGTAACGAACCCCAAAGGTTGAACAGCCCAATCTGGTTTTAGATTACTCTGATCATGTCACTTCAGATTCTATGCTGTAACAACAGTTGAAAGGTAAATGGAACACTAGGATAGATATGTGCCCACAAGTTGGTGTCATTTTGACCCTTTGTTAAAGGTAAAGGTAAAGCTTCATGAATTCACAGTGCAGTAAATTCTAAATATTTGCTGTGTATAAAAGCACTTCTTTGCACCTGGGCTCTGAGTTAATGCTATTTTAAAAACTGTTTATGTGTTGAGGTTTTCTAACAATGGTGATTCATTTCATGGAGATATAATGCCATAAGGAGCATTTTGAAAAGATTATATTCAAGATGTATTTAGTCTAAGACTGTAAACTTACCCTGCTTTAACAAACTTTCTTTTGACTGTGTCCTACTTCCTGGAAAACCTTTGTGTTTGAGTCCTTTCAGAGAAACAGATACAGCAACATCAGGTAATGTGAGCGAAAACATAAAATGATACTAGTGATCTCGCTGCGTGATTTAGCGTAAATAATAATGACTCCGTCATTACTGAGAAGGTTCATAGTTAGCAAAAAAGTATTTTCTTTGTTCTCATACTGAATCCTTTACAGTAACTGTGGTTATTCTAGTTGAGTCTATGGAAAATGAGACTTTTCCCATATTCCTAATATAAACAAGAGCATCAAGGTCTGGGATTAAAATGGGTTAATTTTGTTTCATTGACTGCAGGAACACAAATGTATTTGAAAAAATTATGTATTTGATGTGCACACCACAGCCCAGTAGGTGGCAGTTTTCAACTTTGTTTTCAACTCAAGCCAATGGGACAAAATGTCACTACAGTGACCAGATCCCCATCTATGGAGCAACTTAGGGAATGACATCATGGATGTGCATGTCAAGTCAATATCAGGTCTATCATGTCCAACCTAATACCAGCAAGATGTACCAAATGAAGTGTCAAATGGACGAAAGACAGAATTGTGCCTATTGTTCTCTGCTGAGGTTTTGATGGTCAGAGAACAATGAGTAAAACATGGTCAAAGCTCGGCTGCCCTTTTTCACTGTCCATCCTCTGTGGTTGCTTGTGTGGCCACTAATTAATTGCCCTTTGAGAAGAATAGTTGCCTCCTCCTGTTCAATAGCAGCTGGGGACAGACTGCGTCTATTCATACATCAACATTAAACTTTGTCATCTGCTGGGGCCAGCGTAATATTTTACACTAAATTGTGCTTTGGACTGAGTCCTGAAGTACAAATGACAGCATGGTGTAGACTCATTTATCATCAACCCTCCGCCCCAAACGTACACCTCCCCCCATCTGTGTTACCCCAACTCTCCGACTCTTACCCTGTTGTCTCCATGGAAATCACTGAGCTGACTGCAGAGTTTTTATTTCTACTGACCATCAGCTACATTTCTGCAGGGAGCTTTTACTGTCATTTCAAACAGCCAGTAAGAATGTGATACTTGGCAAAAGTGATAGCAACCTCTTATGAACCCATTGAAATTGAGCAGAACAACATTACTGTTTTGTTTCTTTTTTAATTGTCTAAGATTGAAGCATCAGGCATTTTTTGTCATTAACAATGAACTTTTGAATCAAGGATCAAGATTGTCACCAGAGGAATGCAGGTTCAAATCCCGCTCTGGCTGTAGTATGTTGAGCTGGCATCCAAAAATTAACAGAGGGTACACATTTCTAATAGTAATAATAAATAGAGGATACACATTTCTAATAGTAATAATAAATAATAATAATAATAATATCATTAACTGCTCCCACACGTTCTGTGTTAGCAGCAGATGTGCTGCAACAGGACCTCCCTTGGAGGCAGCAAGTACGTGGTTCCTCTGGGAATCAAACCCAGGACTGTCTGCTCTCTGAGGGAGCTGTGCTAACTGCTACACTACAGAACCTCCAAATGTGCCTGTGTAAGAACAATAATAAATGAAGCAAATAGTTATATCCAAAAAAGGAGAATGCATACAGCAGACAGGCTGCCTTTAGATCAACGCCCAAATGTGCCTCACCAGCCACTTGTAGCAGTCGTCCATGATATTGTAGGGTATAGTATATAAAGCAAACGCCTAGGACTGACATTACGTAACCCTGACTCAAAGCAGCAATTAATGCAGCAGGGAGACTGATGTGATCTTATGCAGCGGCCAGTGTGTGGCGTTCAGGTGATAAATGAGCATATACTCCAGCAGTCAGTGATTTGTACCAGGGCACTGACAATAAACAATCTTCATCCTGATCCTAATGACAAAGATAATTTCAAGTAACTGATGAACCAGGAGAAGGTCTGAGCCAAAATGTCACATTAAATATTCCTTATCGAGCAAGTGTGGGCCGAGTGTGGGTTCTGCCTTTTAAAAAAAACTATATGTTATGTTTTTTTTTACTTAGTACCCTGCAGTGCTGTATCACACTTTACAGTAAGTTCTAAAAGACCATGGTTTCCTGAGGGCACGAATTTGACCTGATGTTTATGAGTCATGATCAAATAACAGGTTCTAACGTCAGGCGGTAAAGACACTATATCAAGTTACTAGTTGTAGTAGCAGCTACTACTACTTCTGATTTAACTATTGTTACTGCCACCACAGCTACTACCATCACAACTATAATGACTCCCAGCACAACAATATTGTATATTTATATATATATATATATATATATATATATGGAGTTGGAAAACATTTGCCTGGTTTGCTACTTTCTACATTTATCTTTTTGCACAGGCGGTAGACCATAATGAGAACCTGGAACTTTTCGCTGAAAACAGCACTATTAAGAGTGGTGCATCTATATATTAAGTGTCTATGCTGCTAACCAGGATAATAAGATGGAATTTTACTCAAAGTTTTGCAGAACTGAAGAAATCTGCTCCTGCTGCGCCCTCTGTTCCTTCACAGGTTTTGGTTTTTGGAGGTTTTGATTCGTTTTGCAGTTTTAAAGACAGAGCACAAAACATGATGTCACAGACAATAAGGATTTCATCAGGAGATAAACCTGGGTTTTAACTTTTAAAATTTAGAGGTTAAGGCATCACTATGTCAACACTGTCAGTTTTATACAAAGAATGTTTAAAATTCTCTACACTATATATACACGTACACAAATATATGTAAATACATACAAACAAATATATGTATATATACATATATTTATACATACATACATATACACATATATGTAAATATAGATGTATACACATATATACATATATATGTGTATATGTGTGTATATCCAGTATAAGGTTCATAAAACTAAAACTGAAAACAATGTTTGCCACTGTTGTTTTTGCAGGAATATGTCGGCGATGCAGTTTAAATGACGTTATAATCAGCTGATTTAATTTGAACCACTAATGAGAGTCTTCATGGCCATATCTGGTCATGCGACGACAACTGCAGCGAATTGCAGAGTCTATTTTCTCCGTGGACACATTACATCCTTGGAGAAAAAGCTTTGTCTTCACTACCCAGCTGTTAGAAAACACCAGGCTGCAGAGAGCGGCCCGAGGATAATTATGTAAATGCAGAGGTACGAAGATGAAAATGTGCTAAGGGTTTAATTATCACTGGAAATGAACCTTATATTGGACACAAAGGCAACAGCCACAGATTTGATAATGTGCCTCTCTTTAAAAGCAGCTCTGGCTCGTCTCAGAGGGAGGGGGTTGGGTTGGGGGGGGCACACACATATGGGTTATATATTGGTTTCACTTATTAGTGTAGGTGACAAGATGCTGGAGTGAAACTGCAAGAACGACAGCAATCTTTTTTTTTCAGTTTGGAGAACAGCTTTTTTAGACATTAATACAAAAGAAGGTTTTATTGTGTTTACTGCACATGCAAATTGGAGAGGGCAGTAAATCCACAGTAGCTGCACATATATATACTCACAGTGTTGTTTTATGTTATTGATGCATACATTTACTTGAAGAGAATTCATGAGATTAAATATGCATGCCTGTGTTCCCTGGATTTGAGAGTAAAAGTGTGAAGATTCATTTATTCATATTTTTCCCAGGCCAGAAAAGTGCTTATACTGTAGGCCCCCTACTCACACCCCCGCCCTGATGACCTGCTCTTCAGCTCATGAACACATAATAACATAGATACACACACACAGAGAGGTCTTATTGCTCTTAACGGATTCTCAGTGTGAGGTGTGTGACTGTCAGTAATGCTTTCAAACGTCACCGTTCGTCTTGCAACCTGACAACCATTCAATCAAGCGCTGGCCTCAGGGACTGAGCCGGAACTCTTTTCCGTAGGGATGCCTGTTACCATGGCAACTGCGGAGGCGTGTGACCCAATACACATACACACCAAAAAAAAAAAAAAAAAAGCAGCGTTGTCTGTTTTGTTGTTTTTATTTTTTACACCAACTTTGTGTTGCCTTCCTGTTCTGTTTTGTTTCCATATGTGGAGGATACACTGTACTGTTCCTTTCTTTTCACTCAGATGATGTGCTGTACTGTTCCTTTCTTTTCACTCAGACACACACACACACACTGCTGGGGCTGGTGGGTAACTGTGGCGTTGTCACAGGTGTCACAGGTGTGTCAGAGTGCAAGCTTTCACCCACCACTTTCCAGCCAGTCTCCACTCGGCTGGTTATTCAACTACAGTACGTGCAGCAGAACCAAACCATGTAGAGCGTTTTTTTTATATGTATTTTATAGTCTAATCAAAATATATATTAACGCTGCAGGCAGCATGAAACAAGCCGTACACATGTTGGGGCTGATAGAACCTTTAATCAGGCCTTGGTTGATTAGAGTAGGATGCGGCTCAAGTTTAAAATAGGCCACAAGAGGGCAGTTAACCTTCACAATGAAGGGGAATAAAAAGAAATGGTTTAATCTCATGTTGAATAGCAATTCATAAAGTCCATGCATATTTATACAATAAGATATAGAGCGCCACCTTCTTGGTTCTGTGGCACTGCAGCTATTCAAACTATTTCTAGTCTGGGCTGAGTGTTGACATCCTGGTGTAACGTCAAAACTCTTTCATAGAACTGAAAAACTTTATATTTTAAAAAAGCTAAAATGTCTTAAAACTACACTGAAATCACTGGTCATAATAACATGTGATAAAGCTTCATAAATAACTAATCAACCAACCATCTCGTCAATTAGCAACTCGTCTAACAAATGAACAAACCAGCTATCAACCAAGCAAATTGACCAACCTGCCCAACTACCCAAGTCAATCAGATCATGCCAACCGACCGACCGACCGACCGACAGTCAGCGATCAACCAAGCAAATTGCCCTTTAGGTCAGTCAGCCAACTGACCAACCAACCTACAACAATACAAGTAAAACTGTGTTAACATTTTGAACCATTTATTAAATAAACTTGTACAAAGAGAGTTTTATTTCTTCCTCTCTAATTATCACTTCAAACTTTTGTTTAATCGTCTCTCTCTCTGTTCAACATTCCTTCCGTGGGCTGTGGTCTGTGTGACTGTGTTAGAGTAACCTCTGCTGCCCCACAGCTGAAATCATGCAGCATGTCTTACACGGAGCCCACTTGCTATTTTCACTTGACATCCAGTTTCCTCTGTGAGTAATTAAAGAGAAGGTTTGGGCAGAGACAGTGACAGGAGGTCTGCTGAGAGAGCCAGTGGTCTAATTAGAACCATATCTCCATTCCACTTCAGAAACACCAGTCATCGTGGCTTTCATGCCATTTGTGAGATTTTAACCACCCGGTTGAAAATAAAAGGCAGTTCAACTCAACTCCCTTCTTTTCCTCCTGGAGTTTTTAAGTACGGGCAGAACAGCAAACAAAAACAACACTCGTGAGAATTCCCTGGCGCTTTTCCCCCACTTATGTCGACGTTTTGATTAATCACCACAGAAGAAGAGATAGCATGGGCAACGAGCACCCCCTACTTCAAAGATGGAGGGGGCGGGAGTGGAAAATATGATCTCATGCACTGAAGCAGCTCAGATTGTAATGTTTCAAATGAAACGTATGGGTTTTTTTTTTCTTTAGCCCCATGACTCTATGTCGTACTTACTGCCTCATCGACGTTGATGTTGAACACCGTTACAGTCAACTGCCAATCCATACTCTGCTGTGATGTGCATGGCTTTCGCCTCCTGACAAATGGCTCGTGGGCGAGGTCCAAGGAGAGCGCTGTCAGAGACCGTCGGCTCCGTGATGCTGCAACAATCTCAGCACATGTAGAGGGTTGGACGAAGAAAGAAACCTGCAATGAAACCAGAAAATCCCCAATCAATATTACTGAGATTCTTTAAAAGGTTCTTTGAAAGACTTAAACTTTTATATTGTGAAATCTGTCGCATAACGTTTTTATAACTTTTATATTGTGAAATCTGTCGCATTAAGGAATTTAAAAATAAATCCATCCTCTGATCTTCACTCTGACACTGTCAATATACAAGTTGTCATTTACACACGCTTTGGGAAAAGGTTTTCCTTTCCCCGAACTGAAGTGACGGTCACATTGTTGCACAGAGCAATTATTCTTGGCAAAACAGCAAAAAGGAA